ATCAAGAAACATTTTTATCGGTACATTTCACTCTTTATAACTCTTTTGAATTAGTAATTAATGCCTTTCTCCTTGTACAGACTTAAACTGCTTGTACATTGGGTAGTTTTCCATCAGAATTTTCCACAGACAGAAATAAAATGATTCCTAAGAAAAACAAATTTGTATTTGCTGACAGAAAAAATGTGTTAACTTCATTCTCAAAGACTTAAACTAGATTTGTTGGCAATAAAATACTTTAAATCATGCAGAATTTCAGGTTTTAAAATCATAAAATCATAAAATATGAAAATAGAAGGATTCTGAGTTAGACAGTATAGAATAGTCATATAAAATAAGATGTTAATGCTAGAGAGAGAGAGAATACTACATAAACCAGAGGATAACTTTTTAGAAAATGCTACCTTATTATAAAAAGTGATGTTTTGCTACATTTAAATGTAGATGCTTGGACTGTTGGGACTATTAGTCTACTTGAGAATTAAGTCGAAGAATTAATCTTAAAAACTCAATTTCTCTTCCAAATAAATGCATCTTTAGATAAATACGTTCAAGTAGGGTGTGAGCGTAATCTAATTCCTCTAACTTCTGCTTTGTGATAATTTGTACAGAGACTAAGCAAACCTTCGCTTGAGGGAAACTCTTTCCAGTTGAGTCTAGTTCTTACGCCACTGCGTTCATCATACGGATGTCAGTGGTTGTTGGCATCCCATACAGAGTGCTGTCATGGTCCTTGCTGGGAAGGAACAGCAATCTTTCTCTCAAGTCATGGTGCAAGGAAATAATTTTACACCAATGGCCGCTGCATTTCTACAGTTCACAGACTTACCTAAAAAAAAAAAACCTCACAATTAAATGTTTCAAAATAAATTCAAAATCATATCCACTAGTGGTTTCATTTCAGCCTGCCTTTACCTGTTGGTTCGTGGGTGTTTGGAAGTAAAAGTTCTCCACGAGATTTCCAGGAGGATGCAGATCATCAGATAACCTTTGCCCGGAATCCCAGCCCTTCTCGGTTGCATGTTTGGGGCCAGGCTACTCAATTATCTGGCATTCCCAGTTCTGAGCTCTGAAGGACAGCTTGCTCGCTAACCACACTGCCTCCCACTCAGAGCCCTGTGCGCATTCTTGTCTGTGTGTGGCTTCCCAGGCTCTGTGACAGACACCCACTCAAGCTTGATGCCCCTGCCATACAGACACTCTTTCTAGGCACATTATGTCCACACCTATATATAAATAACATTTTGACAAAAACCAGAACCTGTTGCAACAGAACTCAGAATTAGTCTCTCAACACTGTTCGTGGGTATCTTTTCTGTGTGAGCAGGATTACGAGATGAAAACAATCCCATTCTTTTTTGAACGATAAATAATGCTCTTCTAGCAGTCATTACTCTGGCATAAACATCCTTAGGAATGACTGTTTGTTAGTAATATAAATATTTCGAGAATACTAGATCCGGAACGTGTACTATTCATTTTATAAATGTTGACTTACTATCTTTTCAAAGAGTTGTGACCGTTTGCAGTGTAAAGCTTTCAATATATTGTTCTGCTAATTTCTCCAAATCACCCCCATCCCACCCCAGTTCAATTTCCTTGAGCTATCTCATTTCTCTCCCCTCCCCTTTCCTCCCCTCCCCTCCCCTTTTCTCTCTCTCTCTCTCTGTCTCTCTGTCTCTCTCTCTCTCACACACACACACACACACCATCTTTGGCGGTTTGCATTTCTTATAAATTGACTTTGCTTGCTGCTTTTCAACTGTATTATTTTCTTTTTGATTAATAAAAGCCCCTTAAGCAGTATGATACTCAACCCTAACCAACTCCCCTGTGGGTATGTCAAACCCTATAAATCCGTCTCTTTCTGGACTTCATTTAGTGTTTTTGTCTCGTTAACCTTCTGGTTTATTTCTTTGGGCCAAGAGTTGGTTTTCTCCCCAACATCATTGTGTTTTCTTATTTGTCATATTAATATTACCTTTATCATAATGGCGTTTCCACATTGTTGTGATTTGTTATGCATTTGTTTAGGTTTTATGGTCTTCAATAGCAATATGTATTATTTTTCATTGTACAGCCTTTATATTTTTAATTTCTGTTTTACCTTATTTTATTGCTGAATGAATGTGTTGTTTTCTTTACATTTTACAACTGAATTAAGTACGACTTGTATATTGGTCTATGTGTATCATCTGAATTCTCATTTCTTTACTAATATTGTATCACCGTAGATAATATTTGCCTAAAATGTAAGGCCAAATGTTTATGAAATATAAACGTTTAGAAAGTTGAGGGGGCAGTGACAAGGCTCAGACCTCCTTTAAAACTGGACAGTTATGGAAAAGTGCAAGCACTTACAGACATACAGTCTTATTGGTAAAGGTTGTACTTAATGCAGAATGCTCTTTCATGGCCCACAGAACAACAGCAGCAAGCAGGTGTGGTCATAAAGAAAACAAAATTAAAGCCAATGAAATAGGAATTGGACAGGTTACAGTCTCTGGTAATAAATAAAGTAACTCAGCCATTAAAATAATATGACTAGACTCTTGGCAGACCTGACAGATGTCAAAAGGGAAAATATAAGGGGCGCACACACACAAAATAGTTCAGCCAACAAGCAATGAAGGCACGGACAGTGAGAAATACTGTGTGCAGATTAAAGACAATACAGCTTAAAATTAGAAGGGAGAGTTTATAGAGAAACTATATATCCTAATCAAACCAACTTGTGAAGAGGGTGAAGCACGAGCGACCCATTCACCAAGAGGAAATTTAATTTACACAATTGCAAAGACACAGAGCTCTGTTGGAGGCAGCAGTGAATGTAGGGTGCTGCTGGCATGAGACTGGGCCTTGTGGGACAAACAGAACTCCCACACATGGAGAGGGGGAGAGGAAAAGCTTCAGAGATGAGAAAGCAGAGAGAACAAATGTGTGACAGCAAGAGTTATAGGCTGTTAGATAGACTGTTGGATTTCAAATCGCACTAAGCATTTCCTCGATGTTAAAATAAGAGCCCTCCATCGGTGAGGTAGCAGAATGTCTGGACACCTTCGTTTCTCTCAAAGTTCTCCAGATGGCTCCATTTACTGTCGGGGTTGAAAACAATGAAGCAGTCTAGCATTTGACTAGAGTTATCAAGGATGGGGGCTGGAGAGATGGCTCAGTGGTTAAGAGCATTGCCTGCTCTTCCAAAGGTCCTGAGTTCAATTCCCAGCAACCACATGGTGGCTCACAACCATCTGTAAGGAGGTCTGGCGCCCTCTTCTGGCCTTCAGGCATACACACAGAATATTGTATACATAATAAATAATAAAAAGGACTATGTTCAAAGATGAAACTGGCTTCTTAAGAAAAAAAAAAAAAGAGTTATCAAGGATGTCAAAGCACCATGAAGATGCCAAAAAGAAACATATTAAAGCCAGGTGACAACCAAGACAGTTGGTCTTCCTTCAGTTTGTATTTTGTTTTTATTGCTATTATATTACCATAATTCTTCCAAGTTTTTGTTGTTATTTTATGATAGGGTCTCAACTGTATAGCCTAGGCTGGTTTTAAAACTCATCATGATTCCCCTGCCTCAGCCTCCCAGGTGCGCCACCATGTCTGTTATGATTGTCATACAGTCTCCTCCATTAGCTATCAGCCAAGTGGGGGAATTTGAGGCAAAGCCTATGGGATGAAGAGGTGAGAGAACTGTCAGTGTTCCTGAATACTCACCCCCAACAGTTAAAGCAACACCGTTTTGTTATTGCTCATACTCTGGTAAGCTGACTGGACTCACCTCAGTAGTCTTTAGTCATCTGGGGGACAAACTGGTCTCAGTTGCCCAATATGGATGGCTCACATAGCTCTCAGCTGAGAGCCTAGCAGGGACTGATTGTCAAAGCATCTCTGTGAACTTCTCACAGAATCACTGCTGGGTCCCGAGAGGAAGCGTCTCAAGAGCAAACCCTTGAAAGAGCCAGGCTGCAAACTACGTTATGAACTAGACTTGATAGCTTCAGACAGCACTGCCATGTTCTGTGGGTCAAGCAACTTACATTCATTGAAAGCTGAGTAAAGTCTATCCCGTGCGGAGAACAATGTATACATACAAGGAGAGAAGGAAATTGATGGGAGACGTTTTTAGCGACTTGCAAACACCAGCTAACACAAGATCAAAGCCTATGAAGCCAGTATATCAGGCAATCTATATAGTAACACAGACAAAACAATGAGGATAAGAGGATCTGAATTATGTAAAATGTGTATTAAAGTATGTGAAAGATATTGATGGAGTATCTAACAATAAAGAGGACACCCTCATCTTAGATACCTGTCGAGTGCCTGCCTTTCCTCTCCAGAGCAGAGAAGCATTTGACCCCTACACACAGGCAAATCTGAAGCCTTAACCTGGTGTTCTGAGCATTCCAGCTGTGCTTCTCTCATGTTTCCTGTTGAATGGGCTCTTGGGATTGCAGCTCCCATCCTTGAAGTGACTTTTTTATCTTGGGTGCACATACTTGGGTTTTCCTCGGTTTTGCTTGCTGAAAGAGCAGTAGGGAAGTTTGTTTGGATTCCCCACAGCGTTGTAATAAGACCAGTTTTGACTTGGCCTGGGATGCTCTGTGCACTTCAGGGTCATCCTCCAGCAACCACTGGAGTCTCTGCGTTTTCTAACAACAGTGACTTGGGAATTGAGCCGTTGTTGTTTTTCGTGTGTTGTTTTGAAGTCTCAAGTGGGGGAGTTTTGCGATAAGAGTTTTGGCTTTGTTTTATTTTTTACTTACTTTTTGAAACTTGTGTTATTTGCCATTCCTCGTCCCATTGAAGACAGTCTGATATGGGAGCCCAGGGTGCGGGGTGATGCAATTTCCTGGCCTGTGAGCACGTCCTATGCACTTTGTGTCTTTGTCATGCTATTACCATGATGTATAATGACTTGAATCCTGTCCGTGAGCCACGCAGGATTGGCATGTAATTCGACAGCTGGCTTCCTCATTCATGCTCAGATCCCTTCGCTGTTACAGGTTGTTACACTGTGGTACCGAGCCCCAGAAGTCTTGCTCCAGTCCAGCTACGCCACGCCCGTGGATCTCTGGAGTGTCGGCTGCATATTTGCAGAGATGTTTCGCAGAAAGTAAGAACTCCATTTCTTCTTTGAACCCTCAGTCTTTAAAGTGGCAGCGTGGCGTTTCTATCTCAGCAAGATCACGATTATTCCCACCTATGGGGATCTAATGCTCAGACAGGATTTTGTGTGTTCTGTGTTCTAAGTGTTCACCACAGACGGGAGATGTTTTCAGCCCTGGTGAGAGAGCTACGTGATGTCCGGGGCCACCCCGCATGTGAAAGTAGTAGTTCACAGAAAATAGGCAAACAGTACAGTAAAGTTCTCTCAGAGAGCTAACCCTGACCTGTCCCTTTCTATTTTTGTTTTCCTCACAGGAGGTGAGTGAGGAAGTTGAAGTGTATTCCCACTGAGCATGTTCAGAATGTAGCTCTGGTAGCTTCTTTTCTGAGGAAAGACGCGGTCAGCCATTGTGGCTTGCTCTCTCTTATAGCCAGAGGAAGTGTGTGTGGTGAGCTTTGTGAAGCTTCTAGACCCCAGCATAATTCACTGTCATTCACGGGACGAGCGGGTTGTGGCAAAGACACACTCATGCTGCTGCGTGTTGAGGACATAGCCAGTTTCTCCCTAGTGTTTCCTTTTACTAATCCTTTATGTAAGAAGAAGCTATGAATGAATGGCATCTAAGAAGTAGCAAAGATATGAATCTAGTAATGTTTAAAAAAGAGGGGCAGGAAAAATAAAAATTACCCATCAACGAAACTGCAGTGACAAGCAACCAGGCTAATAAGTGGGGCTTGGTACGGTTGAGGAAGAAGAGCTTGTGTATACTGCATGCCCGTGAAGACCAGATGTCTACTTTGGTGTCATCCACAGTTTTTTGAGGCAGCTGTCTCATTGGGCTAGCCGGTTAAGAAGCTAGGTTGTCTGGCCTCAGGGGTCCCACCCCTTCTCCCCTCACCAGCGCTGGGATTACATGTTCAACTATCGTGCCTGGCTTTTTATACTGGCACTGGAGGTGCCCGTGCTGCTAGGCAGGCACTTTACCAGCTAGGCTGGCTTCGCCCTTCGGTAGGTTGTTTTGGGAAGGGTGGTCCCTGCCGCACTTCATCATTACTTGGGCTTTTCTTAGAAATGGGGATTCTTAGGATCCATCCTACATCTACGGAGTTGGGATTCTGGGGCTAGGTTCTACCTCTCTGTGTTTTGGCAAGCCCTGCACTTGATCCTAATAAGAACCAGGCTAAGAACCATGAGATCAGATGATGGTGTTACCAGAAATAGGCAGTACTTGAAAATGTGTGTCTCCAGCACTCCCTTGAGGCTCTGATTCATTACTGAGTTGGGCCAGGAATCCTGTTTTTGAAATGTGCCCAGATGATTCTTTAACCCAACGAGAGTGCAGCATTTTAGGTTAAAAGCCAGAGATGGGATTAAGACCCAGAAGTAGAGGATAGTAAGTTAGGACAGGTGCCCCAGGCTATCCGGTTGATAACTTAATACTAAAGAGTCTATTTTTAAAAAAATGCCGATTGGAATTGTCTTTATGAGTCTAGAATTTTCCTCAAGCGTAAAAGTGGGGTCCCTGTTTTGGGGGTGGAGAGGTCAGTTGTTTTTCCACAATTAGCCATGACTGATTATTTTAAAAATCTGTTTTTGAAGATGCTAAAAAAAAAAAAAGAGAGAGAGATAAAACTTAAGGTATTAGGATTGAGCATTCACTAGTAAGATATTGGCTACATTTTTAAGTCTTGAGTGTTACCCGCCTTTGGAACAGTTCAACCCCAAGTTGAACATATTTCCACCTAAGTCATTAGTGTGAATTGATAATTAGGTTCTCAGCCTAGCTTGAGGGCTCTTCCATAATTCGGAACATACATGAAACAGTTTATTGCTGGTTCTTTAAATACCCTTTTCCTAGGGGAAATGTTCCTCAGAATTGGGGCTGAGAAAGGAGGCTCAAGAAGAAGCTTGCTGCTGCTAGAGCCAATCTTCTGCTGCACTTTACTGGGAGAGTAAGATACTGGGTAGAGACCCATTGGCTCCTCCGAGTGTGGGCATGGGAAGTTCCCTTTCTCCTAACGGCACACATTAAAGGTTGAGGGAGAAATAAGTGATTGAAGGAGGAAACAGTAGCAGAAACTGGGTCGGGTCCTAAAGATAAGCAGAGCAGATCTAGACCAAACAGCTAACCTTCCTAGGATCCCTTGCTTGGTTGGCCCTGCTGGTTGGCCTTGCACATGGATGTAGGCTTTGATCTTTGTTTCTGCTCAGTTCACATTGCTATCCGTGTCATTTTACCCAGATGTCTGGGCATGGCCCAGTACTCTAGCATCAGCAGGATCCTGCTGGACTCCTGATGCTGTCTACATCCTGTTGAGAACTCAAGCCCAGGATCTTGAAAGCATACTCATTGATTACTGTAGGGTCATCTAAGTTAGGGAATATTGATACCTGTTTATTTTGTGTTCCTACTTGTTGCAGAGGCAGTAATTTCTACATCATATTATCTTTATTACCTCCATTGTTTTTTGCTATATCCTTATGGACGTTTAACTCCCATTTACTTAGCTTTTTTACTACCCTAAACCAGCTTACTTTTTTATTTAGCCTCACCGTAAACAAGAATATATAAAGCTATAGCTTTGGTATAATTGGTCATTTGTCTGATAGACATTAGAATTTATATAAATACCAAGATCATTAGAAAGCAGTCCATGTCTACCCTCTCTAAAATGACCTCACATGTCACCAGCTGAGAGTGCTCATTGTCAAAACCCTGTAATACAACTCCTCCACGATGAAGAGATGACCGTCATAAGTCCTAGTGAAGGGTGTGTGATGATGGCGCATCGATAAGCAGAGCTGGCTTAGGAAGGATGGGGTGTTGTGGGAAGAATTCTCAATGAAAGTGGGATAGTCACATCCTAGTTATTTATACATATCTTCGAGGAGTGATCGTTCTTGCATAGCAAAACTTGCCATCCTTTATAACCTGGGGAGAAAAAAATAAACCAAGGGAATTAGTTAAACACCCGTGTTCTGACAGGCCCAGGACCTTCACATACATTGTCTCACCAGGCCCCATTCCGAGGCTCAGTACCCAGAGGGTAGAGATGTGGACTATTTTTAAGTAGAGTGAATAACTTAATCAGGAACACCAGCTATTACATGGCAGAGCCAGGTCAGAATCAAAGCCTGCCTGACACTGTAGCATTGATTTTTCTGCTCTGTCATGTTTTTGCTCCTGACATTACTAAAACATACAAAGCCTGTATTTTTTTTAGAGTATTTTATCTATTACTAAAAGAGAACAGCAATGATATTTTTGAGGTGAAAAAGCAGATCACACAGTCAATGACCTTGATTTCTGATCTCCTTAACACTGGAAAGATTTATTGATTATCATTAACATTATCAAGAGATGCATGCTTTCTATTCTCAAATTGATACCTAGAAAATACAAGCTCAATAAAGAAGTCTGAGAGCAGCAAGTTAAATGCCATTTGTCAATCTGAGTAGTTTAATAACTGCCTGCACTGGCCCACAGAAGCATTCTACAAGACGGATTAGAGATAGATTTTTTTTTTATTTATTAAAGATTTCTGTCAAGGACCAATGAGGACTACTGAGACCTCAAGAACAGTGGCAATAGGTTTTTGATCCTACTGCACCTATTGGTTTTGTGGGAGCCTAGGCAGTTTGGATGCTCACCTTACTAGACCTGGATGGAGGTGGGTGGTCCTCGGACTTCCCACAGGGCAGGGAACCCTGATTGCTCTTTGAGATAGATTTTTCTTAATCCTCCTTCTCTGGTTCTTTGTAAGTGACCCATCTTAAAATGTCACATTGAGTTGTTTTTTTACACTGAAACGGTTGGGAATGTGATCAGCAGTGGAAATGATGGGAGGGTTAGTGGGAGACAAGGGGAGATGGGGTGCCATTTAACTCTGTGGTGAAATAAGTTAATTATTTTAGCTCTCCACTATCTGTTGGTGGCCTTGTGGTCTTGACTAGAACTGTTAGTTTATGGTTTGAAAGTTACAGGGTTTTCCAGGTTAAAGCAAAGTCATAAAAAGAGAGTGCACATTACAAAAGAGTAAAATATGCTACTGATTCTATGAATATGGAGATTGTGGCAAACAGATAATGATTCTTAGAAATACTCGGTTGTCAGCTGATCCTTAGCTACAAAATGCCAAATTCCATCAAGAAGAATATAACAAATACAGTCACTGTTAGCAGGAAACAAGCAAGACTTCATGGTTTTCTGGCCCCTCGTCTGGTGGCCTCTCTGGACTTGTCACTGATCTCTGTGAAGTAATTGCCCGGGAGTCTTCTGTGACTCGATGACCAGTGAGAAAAATGTCGAAAACATTACTGAGTGCCTTGCCAGTTCTTCCATTGCTTGCTTTGTTGGTGGGTCCCCATCTCTGACTGCACTCCTAGTGACATCAAGGAAATGAAGTACTTAACTCACTGCCCTAAATGCCCAAGCCTCAGGAGGTGAGAAAACCTGTCACCTCAGGCTGAGGCGACATGTGTAAACAAGTGTGCAGGGCTGGACTTTCTGACACCCCTCTCCTTGGTCTTCTTTTAAAGAATCACCTGAATGCATTCTCTTGGGTAAGGAAACACCCAAGATGGTACCCAGATGAAGGGGCCCAGTCTTGGCAGAGTGATGGATATATCCAGGAGAGTTCTTCCTGGGGCAAGAAGATACTCTCACATATGCTTATCCTGAGACGCCACTGGATCTGGCCCTGCAGACTGTTTCACAGCTCTCCAGCCTCCTAAACCTCTCCTGGCTCTGTCTATGGGCTTGTCCACAGCTGGGACTTTATCTTCTCCTGTCTTCAGCTGTCCTGTTGCCACGCCATTCTCTCTTCCTTCTCATATTCCCGTCTCTGTTCTCAGCAGCTGGCACCTCCATTCTGGCTCTTTCTACTTTTGTTAATCTTTCTACTCTGAGTCTCAGAATCCTTTTTCTGCAACAAATCTGCTACCCTAGACTTTTCCTCATGGTGCCATTGTGAGATCAGCTTTTTCTGTGTGTGTGTGTATGTTTC